TAATGAAGCGATGTTAAGACAAACTGTGCGCTCACCTCGCTGGATCGTGGTAGTTGCCGTGCGTGGGCCTAATGGGTCCGCAGCTGCGGCAGCCTGCCACGTTCTCCGTTCAGAAGGGTAAGGGAACGGGATTGCAGGGTAGTGATACGTTACCGAACTGTTCTCCATACTCCGCCCGCGCTGCCGCACGGTCAACCACAGCAAAACACGCTACTTGTCTGAGCCCTCTTAGTTCTGCTTGCTCTCTTCGACTGAGTGCGTGCTTCGCTCTGGGACCTTGGTATCGACGCAAGCGCTGCATCTTGAGAAGCGTGGATGGAGTGTAGAGACGGCATTTGGGTACCACTACCCTATAGCCCCATTCCTGCCCACTTTTGAGCGGAGAAGTGCATTGCAGCTGCGGGCCCACTCACTTCGCACGTGATAAGGGCCACCCTGGTGAGTGTACATTTTGTCATTAATGTTAGTATCGATGTGACATTAAGAGTTAAAATTCACTACCATTAAAATAGTTACAACATAAAAAATGAAAAACACCGGTCAAATTGTGAGGACCACAGCTGCTACTGCATCTGAAGGGCGGAGCGACGAAGTTTTCTTGTCCCTTTAGGAGAGTGCAGACCACCAGAATTCGCGAACGGCCTCGTTTCAGGACGCGGGTGTATAGCATTACTTCCTACTCGCGGCATCGCGCACAGTATCGAAGTATTTTCTAGGCAGCTGACTACACAAACGCAGAGAGAGCAAGTCGGCTTGAGAGATGTAGAGGCTTGGGTTGTAACGTGACATCTTGAACTTTTGTGCATGGTCCTGTTACGAAACCCTGTGACGCAGACGGATAGAGGGCAGCGGCTGCCAAAGCATCGAAACGTGCAAAAAACGTATGGCGAGCCAGGAAACGGGATTTTTCAAGGGGAGGGGACTCCGGGGTGGGTGAGCTACTTATAGTCGGTGAAAAACTGGAGTGAGCGAAGTCACAACGGGCATAGAGTGCCATGCGGACGAGAGAGTGCAGAGAAAAAAGAGAAGATCGACGGGTTCAAAGGGATTGAGTTCAAGTTTTGCGTAGACCCTTGGGTTGAATGGATTGGGTCCTGGTGCGAATGCTGCGTACGTCATCCCGGTTGCAACGAATATTCCGCTGCACTCGTTGTGACTCGGGAGTAACGCTCTACATTCTATGAGCTCAAAGGAACGGATTTCGTCGCACCGCTGCATAACCCCTGAAATACAGCAGCAACGGAAGATTTTAGCAGCTGGAACTACAATGGAGATCACATATTGAATCACATGAAAAGAGGTTTGGGTTCCGAGAACGGATTATATGCGAGTGGCCCCTGAAATAATCAGCTACAAAGCTATTTCGGTCATTCACACGCTGACTACATGTGAATGAACATTTTAACTCATTAAATTGTTGCAGGGAACAGGATTACAGCGTACAGCCTCGGTATGAGTAAGGTTGTGGTGTCAGTAAGATCACCCCTAATTTTCTTTGCTATCAAGATCCTCCACAAAACTTCCCCTTTCAGTTCGACTCCTCTACACGACCTTTACCACCCTACCTACACCTCTCAATGCTCTAGAATTTTTGCCGGGTGAAACACGAAAAATCAGCAACCTGAGGTCGATGATGTACCCTGTAGCATAAGGATGGGTGGAACAGCGGTGCCCGTACGACCTCCCTGATTTTCCTTCTGTTCCCTTCTGTTTTTTCGATACAACACGACCTTCCTGCCATAGGCTACCCACCAACGTACCGCATCTTCGAAAAATTTTGTCTTCGAGCGGCCGAGGAGGTGGGAAGCAGTAACTCGTCGCTCACAGGGGCACATAACGCGCTTGAAAAATCGGCAATTGACAGAATTTCCACTCCCGACTCCCTCGCTAATGACCAAATACGACCTTCTACTACATTCCGCGCAACAGTGCTGTACCTTGGTTGTTCTATACTTACCGCATGAATCATATGCCGTTGTTGCTCAATAATTTCCATTAATAATCTAATCACTGTTTTCACGGCGTTGTGACCAAAACCATGTGTGAGCTGAAGCAAATTTCCATTTTGTATTCATTGGGAGTGGTTAGAAATATTAGGTTGTCCGGAAAGTTTTGAGAAAATTTCACACTTTAGTTTGAAGAAGTGTAGCAAGCGAATGCCCCAACAGAAAGTCATATATCAAGTGCTATGAGAAAAAGAAATGTTTCTAGATCAAGTAATGCTGGTTGGTGTTATTCTCCATCAATGGTATCAGTTGACATAGCCTGAAAAATTGTATTAGCGCCCACGGCTCCCAAATCCTTCTAATTCATCTTCACCGTTCTGGCTCTTCTATCGGTCAAATCGGGAATAAGGGCACCGTCACCGATGCTGGATAAAACACGCATAAACGTTATATGTAATAGGAGATCAATCTTGTAGGGCTCCCTTTCACTGGATGAGTTTAGCTCGAAATGGTAGCCTTAAACGCCCCTGCCTCTTGTACTCGCTTTCGATTCTATAGTCCCTACCCACGCTCAGAGTAGTAATTGCCGCCCAAAAAATAGAAGAAGGGGGAATACAAATATGTTATATATATAACTGATTAATCGTGCCGTATTTCATTATGTTGCTAGATTCAGTCCATGCCCATGTTTGAGTGACAGCTGGTTCTATGAATTTTCTCAAAACTCGTTCCTGGACTCCTCTAAATGATAAAAGCGACAAAGTTGTAAAAACCTAACCAGGCTCAATATGTTGATTGTGTAACTGGAAGCATCCCTCTCTACATAGTCTTCAGGCTTCTCAGGTACATCCTCAAAGGCGCCCAGTATTCCTGCCAACACACGGCTGCAAACAGATCGTCTGTATGGAGAAAAATTCACGTTTCTAGTTCTAGTCCTTTATCGAGCGCCGCACATTAATATTTCTAAATAAATATCATTGATACGTTGGATGAAAACAGCTGCATTATTATCATCTGAAGAAAAGGGACGATCGCTCTAGCGGCACTTAAATCGTAGTTTTGTATAGGACGAGTTTGATCTCTGTGCTCAGACTGTAACATTCAATGTCGCCATTTTCCGAAAAAAACACTTTATGACGATGGACTTATGCCTTTCCTGTTTGTGCAGACTTTACCTCCACAATCTGAGCACGTTCTAAATGTGTAACGTTAACGCAACACGCTTCAAAAATGCTGGCCGTACGCTTAGACAACGAATTAATTTCTCGGGCCCTGATAACGTTGGCGTACACTCAGAAAAGTGTACGTGAAACGACTACAAGCCGGTAGATCGGTACCCAAAATTTTCTAAGTTTGCTGAAAACTCTGTGTAGGTGGCGCGGATTGGTCAAGTGTGAACGGCCGCAAGAGAACCATGAATTTGTTGCTCCGCGCGCGCCGGCGATTGGGCGCGGCCGTCTCTCAACTCGTGTTAGATCTGTCAGCTGGAGCACGGACATCATGATATTACCCGTCATCGTATGTTTATATTCATGGACTGGTTCTTTCGGTTTGTCTGAATTGCCTGTTGTCGCCATCTACGACATGGAACCATGGTCATTTGTGAGCGCGACTTCGCACGCGACGCCCAGTGCGGCAAATTATGATTCTCTTGTCACATAGCCATGATCAAAGCGACGACGCAAAGTACAACGCCTAATACGTAAGGTACAGCCACTGTCCAACGATAACGTACGAATGACCACTGCTACCATGAACTGCGATAGCAATGGTAGCTCTTATAAATGATGCAATAAAGAAAAGAAACTAGAATTGACCTTGCCCCATCCAACTCTGGAAGAGAGTAAGTCATCTGGTTAGAACGACGAGCTATAGCACACGTGTTAAGAGAGTTCCTGCAGAGGCAATCGAAATCACGAGCCATTAGCACTGCTTCGGCTGCAATTCAAACAGTATCAGATCCAAAAACCGAATGATTATTCTGAATTATATGGTAAAATTCAGTAAACTGAAAACTGTAAACTCACTTTCACAAAGAGCTGTGAAGGTCGTGGTTGTTGCAGTCTTTCGGCGCCCTCGCGGCAAAGTTACCCCTTTCTCAGCCAACCTGTCACGTAACACTCTACATCCGTCCTTCAATTTTGCCCTAGACTGAAATATAGTGAGAAGTGGCAACTGCAGAATATGAAGTTAGCTTTTGGGCCGCGCGAACCATCATCAATGTTCCAACGTTCGCGTTATTGTATGAGGCTCTAGTTGCAGCCCAAAGTTGTAGCGTCAAACTAAAGGACGAGTTGCTTATGATGGGGGATAATCAAGACGATGCACCAGACTGCGTTCATACTTCGCGAACCGGACGAAGTCGCTCAAGTCGTGAAGTATAAATTCAGTCTTAAAGCCGGCCTTTCGCTGCCACCATGCAGTCTGTTGTTGGCTCGGACGGCCACAAAATAGGCTTCAAAATAACAATACTATAGAGAAATGAATTGCGACAAAAGAAGCTCGTTGTCTTACTTCCTCAGAATACTGTTCACAAGACTTGCATGCAACGTTTCAGGATGAGACAAACGTCGCTGAATTTCGCCGAGAGTTACCTGAAAATAGCTAGGTTAGTTTAACCTCCCCTCAAAATTCACTGGACGTTCATGTGCAGGGTGGGGTGTTGTGACGGGTCATTTACGACTAGTGCATTTCCGTCCTCACCTTGTACTTCGTAGAAGAGTTGAGTAGGCATAATCTACCAGTGGTTTCGTCAAACACTTCACCTGCATTGGAAGTGACTGGTTTCGGCCCTCTGTTCTCTGAAGTGTAATACCGACAGTAAAGAGGGCGAACGATGATTGAATTGTATATATACTTTACTCGTTTTATTCTGAATAGCGGAGAGTGCGCTACCAGTTACGTCACCGGGTCCCTCTTACCCTCTCCTGCCAGCTCAGTGCCTTTTGTGCCACAGCCTTTGCTAATAACTTCTGCAAAAATCGAGCACCAAT